TGGACCGTTGTGATGTTGAAACAGTGCTCAGCCTCCCATGTCGGTTGTTCCGGTCCCCACCCCACTTCCTCAAGGGATGTTTGCGCAAGGCGCTCCAATTTTCCTTGGAACTCGTCCTTAACACGCCCAGTGAGGAAGGGCCCCGGCAAGAGCAAACCTGGAAACTATGGATGGTTTTGCCTCGTTTGCTCCTGCGTCGCCCCCCGATGCGAACGTGCCCAAACCGGAGCTGCTTGCCCGCTTCGAGGTTTTTTTCCGAGGCAACTGGGAGCCATCCGCGCTGCGCGGACGTTCTGTCGACGGCAAGAGCCCTCAGGCCATGTTCCGGACACTGAGGTGGGGTTGGTATGCCCTGCAGCAACACATCGTCTTCCGTGAGGGTGGCATTGCAACGCATACAAATCCACTCGGGGCGCCACCGATCCCCAGCGAAGTCGCGAATCGGCATCCACGCCATGTGCCGCGAAGGCAATTCCACCCATGCATGGTCCGACTCCGGGAAAGAGGCATCAACTAGGGCCACATGGTGACAGCAAAACGCGCACACCTTCGCCCAGCAGTTTTCCACGTGTTTTGATGAAGCCTGTCGTCCTTTCCAGTACACCTTGTCCACCCGGTCGGGTTCGGAGGCGCTGGTCCACACTTTGCAGCATCTCACGGATTCGTGCCTGAGCACAACCATACTGTCCGTGCAAATTCGCGTCAACACAAAACGCTTCCATGAATGAAAGTTGGGGAAAAATCAGACGCGCTAGGAATCAAGCGGAACGATGCCAAACGTGTCTAAACGACATGATTGACAGCGTTTGAACCTGAAGTTCTCAGTTGCGATTCTAATCGAACCCAACTCGTGGGTTGCAAGCAGAGAGAGAGAGTATTGCACGGCTTGTAGCTAATCAACAGCTGGGTCATTCATGTGTGTTCATGCTGGGTTACGCAAATGCATGAGCATGTCTTGACCATGATTTGTATTTCAGGTCACTCAACTGTTCTTCGGTTTTTCAGTTGCACCAGATGAGACGAACCAAACATGTCGATCCGACACTGTTATGATGTGATTGTGAAAAGGGCGACCCGCACAGCTCTTCAATCAGCCGTTTATCGGTAGGCTTGTCGGACATCATGTAGCCACACGGGGATATTCACTCCACACCACATTAGCAATGCAAATTTGCATAGCTGTCTCGGGTATATTCGCCCCATGTGTTTTGTCGTTATTGAGCCTGGTGGGGTGTGAGTCACATCCAACCTCACAACTCCCCTCATGCGGGGTTGCCCATTTGGGGAATGTTCCTTCCTCGTGCTGTTTGGGTAAGGCGCATGATCATTGCATTCCTATTCGGGCGGCGGTGATCAACAAAGTTAATCGCAACATTGCAGGGGTCAAATCCAGCAATATGTCTATATGAGACATTCCTTTGTTTAGGGGATGTTTACTCAACGTTCGCCCGGGCGAATGGCGCCGCGGATGGGCCGCGGCACTCTGCGGCAGAGTTGGGCGACATGAAGGTCCGCGACCTCGACAATGTGCCGTCGGAGGGCTACATGAACCCGTCCCGGTCTGCTTGGGTCCGCCAACCCGGCAGCACAGATGGCTTCTTTACTGAAGCTGCGCTTTCAGAACCTTCGAATGGGGACAGGCACGTTTAGGCCGAGGGTCAAGCTTGCCTTGGAGCTCATAGTCTCTAGAACGATGCTTCTCAAAGACTCCTCGGTGCTATGATGAACCTCATGGCCAAGTATCATTCCAGTGGTGATGATGACAATGCTCACATCAGTCAGTGTAGAGCCCGGTTCTGGGCGAAATGATTAGGCAACGGGGCAGGTGAGTGACTGAAGCGTCGAAACTGCGGCCCTGGTCATTTATGGGGAGATGCCCATTGAAGCATGGTTGCGTCATGTTACGCTTGGGATTTAAGGGGCTCGCATAGTTGATGAGCCGATGTGGATCGATCAAATGGCTGAACACCTGAAAACATGGAAGCCGTGGAGCCCGGCCATGACTAAGAATGAGATTGAGGCTGCTCGTAAGGTCTCTGACCTTGGGGCGGTGGCCATTCCCGAAACTGCTGGGGAAGTGACCTTGGTTAGGGGAATACTCCGCTGGAGGTATAGTTGTAGACGAGTTTGCAAGTGTGGGGCGGACAATCTTGCATGAAAAGGGTTTATTGAAGAAGGCCTACACGCCCGACTTCCGGACATATGAGGAATTTGTTGAGCACATGGACGCGCAACTTCGGATACCTGCAACTCTCTTTCATTTGATAAATTTGAGAGAGGTGCGTTCGCTGGACATGCCAGAAAAGTGTCTCTAGAGCATAGGACAACCTGTGCCGATGTGCGATGGGTACTGTGGGTATTCGCATGTGCCATGCGCGCAGTCTGCGGATCCGAAGCAGGCCGCGGCTAAGGCAAGCTCAAGCGCGGAAGTGGCTCTTCGTGTCCTAAGCAACCGAAAATGGCCGCCATGGCTTCCCCCGCGTCTGCAAAGAGCCCGCGGGCCGATGCGCCTAAGGCTGAACCGGCGGCAGCTGAAATCCCGAAGCTCGATGCGCCGCGAAGGCAAATCAGTCGGTTGATTCTGCATCAAAACGGCCGCGACCTGATTTGTCGGAGGCATCTGGCGGAGGGTGGCCTGGCTCCCATGGATGTCGATCGTGGGGGCGGGAGTCAATGCGGAACAAGGCTCCGCGGGAGGCTCCGGTTAAGGTATCTCCGATGCGAGAGAGGAGGTTCCTATGGTCCTGATGTCAAGGATCTCGATAGGACTAGTGAAGATGAGCCGGAGCCCACAACCTTCACGTAGCGGCCCCGCCAGTCAGCGATATCCTTGCTGATTGCCGCTTCGTCGAGGCGCCGGCGCACAGCCGCTTGCCAGTGACCGGACGTTGACCGGCTGACCAACAGCGTGCCAAGCCCCCTGGTGCGTGGCATGCGGCAAACCCCTTAGCAGGGTTTCTGGGACGGCGGACGGAAAAAGGTGCGAGAAAAAAAAAAAGATGAGCTGGGCGAAGACGAGTCCCAGGATCGGATTGTAGAGAACATTGACGCACTTTGCGAACATGAAGGGGGGAGATTCCTTCCGTGCACAGAATGACTATGACAGCAAAGCCTGGGCTACGGTTGACCCAAGAAGATACAGGCTAGGGTTATCCGCCCCAGCACTGAGGGACTGAGTAAAATGTTCCTGGCCAGGGGAGGTGCAGATGGAGGGCGCGCAAGAGCTAATTGCCACTCTATCCGGTAGGCGCGATGAGTCGAAAGCTCAGGGACGTAATTCCCGATATTCTCGGAGGGCGGGTACTATGGAGCTTGTGAGAGTAGTCCGCAGTGAAGTTGTACAATGGCTATCCGCCAATTGAGCTGTTGGTTAGGGAGATTGCACGAAGCGTCAAGTTGTCAAGGTCTCAAAGGACGAGTGCGAAATCTTGTTTGCACAATCCAATGTGATCGGGCGTGACGTAACATTCAAAGTGTTTAAGAGATGGTGACCGTACTCCAGCGGGCCCGATCATGTTTCGGCTCGACCCAAAATATGTACCGAGCACGGGATATGTCCTGATGAGTATGACAGATTTTGTTTTCGTCACGAGGTATCGATGCATACGGCGCAAATTCGCGATCACAGTTTTACAGTTTTGACGGCTCGGCCGGATGAGGTTTCCAAGGGAACGTCAAGGTGGGTCTTAAAATCGGGGAAATCCCTTCTATGACTGTCCCTTCTGGAAGTGATGGAAAGGAGTTCTATTCGAACCAACGCGCAGGGCTATACGCGTCGAAGCACGCGGTGGTCGCAATTGACCTGAATTTGGATTATGCCGCAATTGACATGGATGCGATGCTGCAATGCCAGATCGACATCGTCAAAGAGGAGTTCCGAATGGGAAAATTTAGAAATCCCAGGGTCCCGAGTAGTGGCGGAAAGGGTGATAACCCTTCCCCAAACACACCGAGATTTGGGGGAGATGCAGATGACGTGCTGCCTGGCGAATTGAGCGGTAGTACTCATCAACCGAGCCTGCGGGATTTCCGCAAAATACCTTCAATAGGTTTGCGTAGACCTTGATCAAAGCGACCGCCTAACCTACTCGTCCGACATCACGGGGTAGCGCCATTCGCGCTTGGTTATCATCCTGCCCTGCTCAGGTATTCCCTGACGTCGCAAGGTAAAGGTAGCGATCGATCGCAAGGCCTATCGACCCGCACCTCCCAAACCGCCAGGTGCTCTTACTGGAGTCGCTTGTGATTGTGGGAACGCGCCTGAACGGTGCGTTTAACGACCAGGATCATGTTCGACGCCGCCAAGTCACTCTTTCGGACTGAAACGTCCGCTGCAACAATTCACTGGGCCGAAGCGCCCTTCCAAAGATCTCCGCCTTGTCTGCGGGCGAGGGGGTCGTTTTCAGGGGCATGTTGTTTTATCAAGTAGTTGCGCATTTCATGCCATCGGCTAATGCGCCTTTTGGCTCAAGCTTTTAACTGCGGCGACTCCGCCCTGCCATAGCAGCACTACCTCGCGTGCGGCGCACGCCGCTCATCTCCGCCGAAAAGGCAGGAGGCGCCGCCTGGGCAGGCGGCGGTACCGGTGGTGGTGATTGTGGGTGAGGCGCGGGGTTGGTGGTTGTGCTATCTTGGTCTTCTTTGCGCTTTGCTCGGTTGCTTGCTTGTTTGGTGCTGCTGACGTGAGTTGTTGCATTTGCAATGGGCGCACCGGAATTGGTTGGATGTCCTCAAGAATCCTGTTCACCAAACATCGCGTAAATATGGCAATTTTCGGCAAAGTCGGACGGGTGTGGTGTTTTTTGGACGCTGATGATGAAAACATCAGATCCGGTCAGACTACTAGAAAAGATTGCAGCAGAGGTGACCCACAGGATGGCAATGGCTCAAGGAGCTGCCCCCGTAGTCTGCAAACCTTGCCAGGATAGAAAAGTACTTTGAGAAAACAACTGCATGATGCAATTGCAAATGCATTGATTTGATTTTTTGGCTCTTCCTCAAATCAATTGCCACAGATCGGCGCACGTCATCCGCGAAATCCATGGTTGGGCCTTCGGCAAAGCTGCTGCCAGCATGGTGCGCGGTTCTATGCATGGCAATGCGGACAGCCGTCGAGATCGAGGACACGCAGGCAGGGCAATCGCCCGACTGTGGTTTCGGGGCAGTAAAAGTTTCTAGAACTGCGCTTGGGGCAGAAACGGCAATTGTCTCGGCCCCGTATGCGTTTCTTGCAAACTTGCGCCCCGTGTTGATCCGCGTACAGAGTTTGCGATAACACCTAGCATGCCCTTATCAGTCCCTACTGGCGGTTTGTCCTTGGGGAAAGCCAACAGCAGGTGTGGGCATCATATTCTCTCGCTCCCAGGCGGGGAACATCCTCGATCATGGTTTGTAAGAACCTCATGGCTAGAGTGGTGTCTAACTTGATTTTTCCTCACCATCGGGAAGCCCGGGCTGCGCAGCGCATCAGCTGTATGCAGCTCCAAAGGCGGGATGAACATCCACAACTTTGAAGGCTCGAGCTTTGGCAGCGTAGAAAGGGCGGGCAAACCTGCAACTAGTAATCCCTGAGCAGGATAAAAGATGTTTGATGGAAAGTTGTGTTTGGGGAATCTTTCCAGAATTCATCGTGGTTTCTCCCCTTTGGTACATTGAGACTGCTGTTCAGCAGCCGTGTCATGGATGGTGCCTGCTGGATTTTGCAGTACTCGGACAAGCTTGGTCCGATTCCTTGTTGGGCATTGCTCTTAACTCTAACCACGAAGCTTTGTTGAGGCTGTATGCTGTCACGCTTGTCACAACTCGTAGGGATAGGCTTGTGTGTTTCCACAGCGGTTGGTAAAGACATCAACTTTATCAACGCCCGAAAGGACAGCACATGGCTCGGCACACTCGTGCCGTCAGAGCAGTTGCAGTCAGATATACGTTGCAGTCGAAGCAGCAAAAAGCACTCAAAAGTGATCGCGAAGGTCCGGTGCGGGAGAACCTTGCATGGTTATGATCGGATTTACTGAGAATTTATCTAAAAGCTTCTGGCTGTCTTCAAACTTTGCATGCTTGACCGCGAAGCTCCGCGTGAATCCAGGTGAGCTCACTAGATGTGCAGCGCGGCAAAGACGCGGGGGAGCGAGTCAAGACAGCCCAGCAAGACGATGCAGCGGAAAGCTGTCACTTGAAACGCATTTGGGCATCATGCTGCATGTTTGGCTACCAGTTGTGCAGATAGTGTCGGAGTTGTAGACTTTAACATGGCTTTTGAACCTCAGAGTCTTCACAGACGGGGCGGGAAATATCACGGGCTAGACGCTTCAGGCCCTGCGGACGCACATGCCGTGATGGCCCTACGGAAGCTGGGCGCGCAGGAGGGCAGCCGCGGGCCGCACCACTGCAACTGGCCAGGTATAGCCTGCCAGCGCTGCAGTGTCTCCAGCATACGTTTGCTGGGGATGAAACACATCACCGGATCCATCAAGGAGCTCCAGCACTTCGCTGAACTGAATGTGTTGGAGCTAGGTGCAGCGAAAATTTGTGGGGACATCAAAGCACTGGCAAACCTGACAAAACTGCAGAACCTATCACTTAGTGGAACTCAAGTGACGGGTGACATCTCCCACCTGAACAAGCTGGTTCAACTGAAGAAGCTGCAGCTCGACATGACTCTAGTGTCAGGCGACGTCTCCCATCTGAACAAGCTCTTTCAACTGAAGGAGCTGCGCCTTGACCGGACTCAAGTGTCAGGTGACATCTCCCATCTGAACAAGCTGGTGAAACTGAAGGAGCTGCACCTCTATCGGACTCAAGTATCGGGTGACGTCTCAGACTTGAAGCGACTGACCCAACTGAAGGCGCTCTCCCTTGCCCAAACCAAAGTGTCAGGTACCATCTCAGACCTGAAGCCGCTAACCCTGCTGACTTCACTTTTCCTCGAATACACTCGAGTATCAGGTGACGTCTCAGATTTGAAGGCACTCACCCGGCTGAAGTTCCTGCGCCTCTATCACACTCAAGTGTCAGGTGATGTCTCAGACCTGAGGGCACTGACCCAGCTGCAGACGCTGGACCTCCAGGGACTTCAACTGTCAGGCAACGTCTCGGACCTGAAAGCTCTTACCCAGCTGACGTTCCTGCGCCTCTATGAGACTCAAGTATCGGGGGACGTCTCAGACTTGAAGGCGCTGGTTGGGCTGAAGTGGCTGTCCCTCGGCCAAACCAAAGTGTCAGGTGTTGTCTCAGACCTAAATGCACTGACCAAACTGCGGAGGCTGTACATCTACCTGACTCAAGTGTCAGGTAACGTCTCACACTTGAAGGAACTCACCCAACTGAAGCGGCTGCACCTTGACCGGACTCAAGTGTCAGGTGACGTTTCAGACTTGAACGCGCTGCATCGACTGAAGGTGTTGTCCCTTTACGACACTGAAGTGGCAGGTGACATCTCCGGTCTCAGCGCACTCCCTCAACTCCAGAAGTTGTCCCTGCAAAAGACTCACGTGACAGGGAACATCAGTAACCTCAGCACCGTCGCAGGGCTGCGAGACCTGTCACTGGCGGACACTGGAGTCTATGGTGATCTTGGCGTTCTGACCATGTTGCCAAACCTCACCAATGTGGACCTGCAACGCACCTCGGTCTCAGGGCGATGGATGGTCAGCTGGCGGGGCTGCTGTAGAAATCTTCGCAGGCTGCTGCTCAGTGTCTGGCACCTAGTTGTCACTGTTCTGAAGTGGTCGTTTCAAGCCAGTTGCAAGCAGCATTTTGCAAGCAGCGTTTTGCAAGCAGCATGCGTGGTTCCAAAGCATCAGCTGGCAAGCTAAGGGCAGCAATGCAAGCCTTTTGCCAGAAGGTGGTAATCTTGCTGGCCTACGCGAGCTCTGGACCCCTGACCTGCATCCGGATGGTGCCTTTCTGCCAGCTCTGACTACTCTGGAAGTGCCATGGTCTCATGTTGATCTTTATTTGTCATTATGTCATTCTCAGGGCACAAGTCGGAGCCCGGAAGGAATGTCGTGTTTGCGAACACGCGCGCGTGTCAACGGTGCAAACACACATGCGCGCAAACGCGCACAGGGACGAGAGCGGCAGCACACACACACACACATAGGCACGGGCACACGCGCACGCACGCATGCACGCACACGCACACGCTCGCACTCCAGACGCACACGCACACACACACACACACACACACACAGACACACCCGCAGCCACGCGAGCCTGCACGCACTCACGCACGCACGCACAGGCGCACGCGCGCACGCACACCACACACACACACACACGCACGCACGCACGCACGCACGCACGCACGCACACACACCCACACCCACACCCACACCCACACACACACACACCCACGCGCGCGCACGCGCACGCGCACACGCGCACAAGCACACAAGCACACAAGCGCACAAGCGCACAAGCGCACAAGCACACAAGCACACAAGCACACAAGCACACGCACACCCACACGCACACGCGCACGCGCACGCGCACGCGCACGCGCACGCGCACACACTGACACACACACACACACACACACAGAGACAAGCAGACAGCCCACCGCGCACACGCACACAAACACACACACACACACACACACACACACACACACACACACACAGACACAGACACAGACACAGACACAGACACAGACACACAGACACACAGACACACAGACACACAGACACACACACACACACACACACCACACACACACACACAAACACACAGACACACAAAAAATAGAGCAAACACAAACAAACACACACTTGTGTAGTCCCCCCTCTGTTTGATACTTATTTGCTGCTACTCGCTTCAGGCTTGCGCCTTGCTCAATTTGATTACCAGAGGGTAAGGAAAAAGCCATGATTGGCGTTAAAATCGACTGCCGGGATAGCAATCCAAACTGTCTGCCAAGTACGTCAACGGACTGAGCATGGAAATGTACCCTTGCAATGGCAAGGCTACGTTCTTCAAATTGTCAAGGGTGTCTGGAGTTTCGGGAGAATGCTTGCACCAATAAGTTTGAGCAAGATCGACCCTCATCAGGAGCCACCTTTGCCGATCTTGTCAACCTTATTGCTGAAAGACAAGCCGCTGGCCGGCGGTTTGCTTTCGCAAGAATTCCCAACCGGCTCGACTCCGGGATTTATTGGTCACTTGCCCTTAGTCATGAAACACACACGCAACGTGCATCAAAGCCTTGCCAGAATGCAAAGATCGGACAAAAGAAACGGTGTAAATGCTTGCAATGCAAGCTTCGTGCTCGGGCGCCTTCGCCTCCCTGGGGTCCCTCAAATCCTTTGGCGCGGGCAGCGGATCGCTGAGCTCAAGCTCGCCGGGGTTCCTTGGTCACTTGCCCTTAGTCACAGGGTTGGACACACACACACAGAAAGCCAAACAGGCAAGTTAACTACCGGGAACCCAGAATTCAGCAAATGCTGCAAACACTTCAACTGGTGAAATCAAAAGTGTCAAAGCTGACGTGTGGTCCTCTCTAATGAAATTAGGCGTTTCCCGCATGTTCTACGCATCAGACATTCGAATGGAGTTAATTGTGTTCTGCTTCGTTCGAACCTGGTCGCCTGGGTTGAGCGCTTTTGGAGGCTCTTCAGCTTTTTTGGGCCTCCATACTTATGCGGGGGTCGCCCTGGCTGGTTGTTTCTCTGCGGGCCTGTCAATCCGAGGCCAACGCGAACAGCAAGAACCAATTCGAGTTAGAAAACCCTTGGGCTACCAACAAGCCCACACGTACCTTGTCGAAGACCAGCTCTTAAAGGGACCTGGTGAGTTCTAAGATATTCATCAGCATTGAGGAATCCCTACAGTTGCGGGACCTTCATCATGGGGCCCGAGCTCATTTTACCACGTGACACCACAGTAACGGGTGGTTGGCCGCGACAAGCCTAAGTTCTCAACACCCCAGATTAACATGGGGCCCAATAAACCCTCATTTGTGAAGAATTCTCTTGTCGCTGGAAAAATACCGGAAAACAAGTTCAACTTGTCCAAACAAGGGCTGCCACACGCCCACACATACCTGACCTGCCTCCAGCCACCCAAAAACACATACACTGGGTTGGGGTTGCAACAAGCTCACGTGTCTCATGTTCCAAATTCGCGTGTCTCATGTTCCAAATTCGGATTGCCAGAAATTACTTGCATGCATTGATGCATTTTGCTCAAGCATGACTGGGTAAGTTTGTGTTGACGAGCTAAAAAAAAACCGGCCGTGCCGGACTTCAGGCAGGACTGAGGATTCTCCTCGCCAATTGCCCCAGTCTTCTTCGTCAACAGCCGCGGCTAAAATCAAATGAATGCACTCAATCTGTGCGGAACTTTCTCTTATCATATCTTTGCTGCATGAGTGTACAACTGGCACCCTGCGGGGCGCTTCTTGCTCCAAGGACGCCACATTGATTCTTTTCGTGAAAGAACATTGCTGCAGAAGGGGGTCGGCCGGAGCACTTTTTCCGGCCTTTAAAATGCCAAGCGTGCCTGCTTGACTGGTTCCATGGAACCATGTGTAAGCGCAATTGCCAGAAGCAAGTAACTGGTTCGGGCCGGGAAAGAATTTGGCTGGAAAACTCCAAACGGCAACCTTGTTGCTGTCGTCCTTAAATACCAACGCATGTTTAAAGAAGATCTGCTCATACAGCAGCTTGAGCGTTACCAGAAACCTTACGATTTCTTCTTCCACACAGAACATGCCTTGAAGACGGTGAGGTTGGGCTGCCTGTTGGACTTTGCCCATCAGGAACCGAAACGCAGTCTCCATTGTGTCTGAGTGAATGTCACTCATTCGCGAGACTTCAGACTGAATCCGAGCCGATCATAGAGCACTTGGCGGTGGGAATTCCCAGGCCATAATGCATGCCCGGATGTGGCCAAGTACTTCGGCGTACATCCAGGATTGGACCAACGCTTACGGTGTGCAGCTGGCCCGCTTCCCGCAGCAGCACGTTGCTTGGCCCAGATTGCGGGTTGGGCTTTTGAAGCCACCGCAGGAACCGTTCATGCCTCCGTGCTGTTGAAACCAAGGAGGAGGAGACATGGCTGGCAGTGGTCTTAGCCCACGTGAGCCAGCGCTGCTGGGATGCCAGATCATCCACGGCTGAATTGGTTGGCAAGACTCTGCTTTCCTGTCATGGGAGGAAATCCTCCGTAAAAACGAGGGTGCAAAAATTCTTGCAACGCTGGGCTTGCCATGGCCGCTTCGCTTGCCCAAAACTACCCTGTTGTCTACATATCGAAGTTATGAGCAACTCCGTGGATTCGCAGGCGAACCGTTGCCAAACTTGCTGCACCTGCCAGGGGCTGGCTTCGGCTCTCCCTGAGTACTACTGCCAGTCTTGACAAAATGGTTTCGCACAGGTGCGTCGGAGTTGCCGATACACCCGATCAACAGCTTGAAAAATGCCAGCGGTAAAAGATTGCTGCACAATGTCTGTGATGTATATTTGCGGGCGGCTGTCTGGCCCTGGTAAGGCTTTTTCTTGCCCTGGTCAAGGAGACCGCGTGACCGAAAACCAATCCGAACAGCCCGCTTCACTGTAGTCTCTCTGAAGACATTTCAAGGCACTCAGGATTTGACATCGGGGAACTGCGTTGAAAAAGCCAATCGAATCATCATTGGCCTCCAACAAATGCACAGTATGGATTCGCTTCCACAGCGATGGCATTACATCACAGCCGAAGCCATCCCACATGAGTGTGATGGCTTGCGAGGTTGCCAGGAGTAAGCGGCAGATTATGCTACCTCCCTGCCGGTATCGGTGCATGATATGTCTGGGTACTTGTTGAAGTGCCCGCCGTCCCCCACTGTTCAGGTTCACCCTGCAGTGGCTCAAACACTTCAATGTCATCCCAAGTTCGGTATACGGCAGCGTAGTAAAACCAAGGACAGTGCACCATGACATGTGAGTTGCGGTGGTCCTCGTTGTGGGCGACAAACTGCTGATGCAAAAAACTACGAGCCTTCACCACATCCGCCCAGGTTAGCCGCTTTTCGCGCTCCAGCTGTTGACGGTGGAGAGGCCATTGCGCAAAAAGAAACTGGCGAAAATTGACTTCAGCTTCTGGGGGTAACAACTATTGCTTCCGCCAGCGGGAGAACGCAGCTTCACTGTGTTAAAAATGTGGATGTGGCACTACCTTGACCTAGCCACTCCAGTGCGGGGCACGCTCTGGCTTTGTACAAACTCATCCCATTGCGCAGTGTTGTGCAGGAAGTGTCGGATTGATTGGTGTGAAGCTTCTCGCACCGTCTTACTGGGTAGGTGAAACGGAACCAGAATTGACTTGCGCCGCAGGATGTTGTGTGAGCCAGCGATTGACTTGTTGACGGAAACTTGCGTGAGAAAACGAATGCTCAATGAGGCGAAGGCCTAGGCCAAGTCATGCCTCGAAATCGAGCTACTTGCCGCAAAAGCTTACGGACCTTGGTTTTCAATGGCTCCTCTAGTGAAAAACTGAGCCGAACGATGGCGTAAACTTCATCATGTACAAATCGTCCGGATCGTAAACGTGTACACGCGTTAAAGCTGGCGAGGGTGAAGCTGGACAAGTCAAACATCAAGACCCACGCTTGCAGTCTGGCCAAAGCAAGTGCTGTCGGCTGTGATGTGCCGAAGTGTCTCTTTCTGAGATTTCGCCAAAGGCCTCGCCCAAACCTGCCATACGCAGTGAAGCGGCGCCGTTGGCCGGGGGAAGTCAGACGGGGCTGCCACGCCTCAATCAGGCAGTGTTCAAAGATCCATGCCGCTTTGTACGATTCAAAAGTTTGGACGGCGATGATGGAGAACTGTTCAAGATTGGATTGCGCGTGCCAGTAACAAATGGCAAGCTCAGCCTAAACTTCTTCGCAGCGGGATAGTTTGTTGAACAAAAACATTTGATGGCTTCTCGGAGCAGAACCAAGATGGAGGTTT